TTGAGACAGAATCTCACTGTGTTGCCCCCGGTAGAGTGCTATGACGGCACAGCTCACAGCAACCTCTAACTCTTGGGCTTAAGAGATTCTCTTGCCTCAGCCTCCCTCAAGTGGCTGGGACTACAGGCACCCAGCCACAAGGCCCAGCTGTTTTTGTGGTTGCCGCAGTGTCATTGTTGTTCAGCAGGCCCGGGCCAGGTTTGCCTTGGTGTATGTGACTGGCACCCTAACAACTGAGCTATGGGCGCCGAGCCAAAAAACCCACCTTATTTTTGACAGTGCCCGTTCCCATAGAGCTGATCCTAACATTCATGAAACGTAATTATCTGTGAACCTAATCCAAAATTTGTGGCATCCACACCTGGAAGCCATACTGAACCTCCTATTCCACTAAGAATTAAGTATTCTGCCTATCAGTGTTGTCCTTTGGAGGCACTTCCTTCTAAGTGCAATGTCTTCCCATCTTATCTTAGCCTCCCCAGGCAAAAGAAACTGAGAAAACACACATGTAATTTCGAGAGTTATCTCATTTTTAAAGGGAGAGAGCTCAAGGACAGAAGACCTCCAGGGTGTTTCAAGTGCCCAGGGTTTTAAGGGCAGTTCTCCCAAATCTACACTGACAAATTTCCCCTTTTAGTAGAGCAGAGGCACAATCCATGTATGACAAGTTCCTGGGGAAGTCTCCTGCAGGTGAATTTTTTTTGAAACAGTCTCACTATGCCACCCTTGATAAAGTGCTGTGGCCTCACAGCAACCCCAAACTCTTGGGCTTAAGTGATTCTTTTGCCACAACACCCGGCTATTTTTTGTTGCAGTTGTCATTGTTGGTTAGCTGGCCTGGACCGGGTTTGAACCCGCCAACTTCGGTGCATGTAGCTGGTGCTATAACCACTGTGCTACAGGCACCGAGCCCATCTTTGAGAATTTTAATCAACATGTATTCAAAACATAGATCAATAAACTATCCTGCGTACAGAAGCATAAATTTAATTGGAGTAAAAATATTGCTCCAACAAATTCAAGCACAAAATTTACTTGAATTTCTCCATTTAGTAATGGAAAATAAAAAATATATGTTTTAAAAAACATGTCAAGAGCCCTTCAGTAGATGTAACAAGTGAAGGTGTGAACAGGGGTACATCAATGAACTGAGACCTGGGGTCCAGTATAGGTCAACATTTATATCCTCCAAGCTGTTGGATGGCATGCTCTCAAAGCTTAGGGAGCCACAGCAAAATTGTAGGTTGTCTACCATGACCTTTCAAAAGGTTGACATGAAAAGATCTACTAGTCAAATTTGTCAAATCATCCATTTTCTTTACATTATGTCTTCTATCTCTTGGGCATATGTTAGCATGGAAAAACGCTAAGTGACATGTCATACATAGGACTTTCTCCCGTTATGTGCTTTGAGAAACATCAGTAGACCCTTTTAGTTCATAAATCTTGAGTTATCTGTTTCTATTTGAATCCAAACTCTGGTGGTTTGCAATAAAGCAAATTTGGAGGCATTTGGAGACTTTAAATACACCTGAAAGTAAAACGTTTTTCTAGCTTCTCCCTTGGGGAACACACACCATTCATGACAGCACTGTTCCAAAGGTCATAATTAGATGTCCTTGGCATACATAAACTGTTTTCATCATTACTATAGACTAGAACCTATGTTGACCAACCAAGAGACTGTTACAAACGGGTCAACATGTTACTACTATGCTGATACATACATCTGGTTGCATGTCCAGTCTATGAAAATTAGGCAAATTTGAGGTGATTAACACAGGCAGCTGGTCAACTATGAAGGTTCTATCCACTTTGTGAAATGTAAGACTGTTTAATTACCCCAGTATTTAATCATTGGCTGGAACCTCAGCACACAGGTTTTCAGGCTTTCTTCATGATAGAGGTTGAGTTTACCTATACTAGAGAAAAACTGTGACCATCTTTTTCTACCAGATTATGTACAGACTTTCATCAGATATGGGATAAAACAGAGATAGAAAAGTAAAACTAAAAAACTAGTAGCTATAGGGCAAGTAATCTCAAGAGTGAGATAGAGCAGTGGTTCTCAACCTTCCTAATGCCATGATGTATTTTCATTGTTACAAACGGGTCACAACCCACAGGTTGAGAACTGCTGGATAGAGGTGTATTCCATGTTAAGACTACTATACATCCTGTTCAGTTTATTGTCTCTTTCAAATACATTAAAGCAGCAGAAGAGGCCAGGCACACGGCGACTCACACCTGTAATCCCAGCAGCTGAGGTGGGTGGATTGCCTGAGCTCATGGGTTCGAGACTAGCCTAAGCAAGAGCAAGACCCCATCACTTAAAAAAAAGAATAGCTGGGCATTTTGACAGGCACCTGTAGTCTCTGCCACTCAGGAGGCTGAGGCAAAACAATCAGTCTGGAGCCCAAGAATGAGGTTGCTGTGAACTACAAGTGAGACTGTCTTAAAAAAAAAAAAAAAAAGAAAAGAAAAAAGAAAAAAGCTGAAGAGTCCCAGGCAACCTAAAAAGGCTTGGAGCAAACTGCCATTTATACTAATAACACCTGACAGGAATGTCATTTCAGTAACTAAGCTGATATGTTAGACCTACAGAAAATGTAAGCTAATAACTGCAACTATATCTTTGGGAGTAAAACTTGTCTTTTTTGAGAAAAACTAAATTGTAGAGCTAGTCAACTACCTTCCTATACTTTAAAAGTTCTCACATTTAAACGTGTCCTCAAATTTTAACCAGAATTACTACAATTATTACAAGGCAAAGCTCTATACAGTACAAAGACCCCTAAATAACTTAAGTGCTATAGGAAAGCATACTGGAGCCTTCACTGAGAAATACCATTATCTGGCCTATGGCTTTCATCTTTCAGTCTTTGCATTGTAGTAACTCCCTTCAGAACCCACCCAGACAGAAGAGGCAAGCTGGTGTGCTCAGACCAACCCACTTCAGAACTGTTTTATAGAAAGAATTATGGGGGACCCCATTCTGGGAAAGTGTATTTCTGTTCTAAATGGTTTTGTTTTCAGGAAGTGTTGTTCAAACTTATTTCAAGGTTGACAGCCAAAACCACCAAGAAGGAGGAAGGTAGAAAACTTTCTTCCTCTTCACTTCTTGATGAGTACGGTCCAAGTAGACTGGTAAGGCAAATATTCATTATGGATTGTAACTCACTTTGCTTTGGTTTTGGAGGTTTCCCTTAAGAAAAAAGAAATTTGTTAATAAATATTAAAAAACACACAGAACAAGGTTAAATTATTGAGGCAAGTGTCAATGACAAAAGTAAAAGCTTAAGTTTTTCTCTATTTAATCTCAACATGTTAAAAGGTGACAATACTTAACACACCTGATGCTGCGTTTTCTTTCTACATTAAGGTATGATTAGACAACACTGGACTGCTTGTTATGTGCTAGGTCATTCTAATTACTTACATGGAATCGTAAAAACAATTCTAAGGAGGAGTATTATTACTTACTTGTTTCCATAGTTGCAGAACATAAGGCCCAGAGAGGTTTCAAGTGTAAACAACTTGCCCAGTATCACAAGTGAAGAGTAATAAGGCCAGGATTGAAAGCCTGGCAATCCACACCTGAGAGTATTTTAATTTTTCAAAACTCCAAAATTCTTTCATTAAAAGCAAAGAATATGTGCTGTACTCTCTCAAAAATAATTTAAAATGCTGTTGCTCCTATCTCTACTTGAATTTTTAAAATTATATACTAATTTCCTGCATTTTTTAAGTGCTACACATCTACAATCTGATGAAATATACTCTATCCCCTCACACAACTTTTGAGGTATTTTGAAATGTGAAAATCTTAATAAAGTATTAGTCACAAAGCCAAATTTACAGTAACCATTAATATATGATAAAGGAAAACATTTTTCTATTAATACCTATAAACCACAGCTACAAAATTACTGTGGACCATAAACAAAGTCCTTGAGCTTATTTAATGGTGTCTAACCCTTAACACTACCTACACAGTGCCTTATAGTATATAGCATGTACTAAAATTTTTGTTAAACACACTAGATTAGAGCAAATAATCTGGCACAACTTTTTATATTCACAAAACAAAATCCATTTAAATTATTGTGTGATCTGAAGTGGGAAAAACAAAGTGATAAATGTAGAGATGAGCAGCCGCCAGGCTAAGGTCCACTACAACTGTAGTAAGGTGCACTGGCTCTCCAGGTTAAGTCATTGAAAGAGAGCAAAAATTAGGTAGATAGTTAACAGTAATGCAACTTTTATTCAAGAGATAGTATTTAAGAAGAGTTGAGTTCTAACAAAGGAAAAATTTACCGGTTATCCACCTTACAGTAAAACGTGGAAGTGGATACCATGTATGACAAATAATTCCACCTTTACACTTCTGAATAAAGCTGTAGCTGCTTCGAGAGAGCCATTTCTTAACTTTTGCTAATAAGGCTATGTGAATTGTGTTCAGAAACTCTGACCACACAAATAAACACACCCCTTAAATTAAGTACGTAGGATTTTCACTCCAGGCTGAGGACCTAGTAAGTATCTAGGATCTGTAACTAAGACTGCATATTACTACATGAATTCAATTTGAATCACCTTCACTATGTTTATCCATTACAATTATTTTTAAAAATAATTAGACCAATGTTATTATGACTTTACAACTCCCTCAAATTATACTTTAATATTTAACATGGTAATTAAAAAAATAAATAGTCAAAGCCTTTAAATTTTTCTTCAATGTAATCTACAAAGGTGGTAACAAATGTTAAGAGCACTACCCTAAAATAAAGTAAATGTAGCTTTCTTCTAAAAATTACTAGTTACAGCACAGATCATTGTCCAATCCATAATTCTAATAAAGAATCTGCCTTTTGGTAATAAAATAAGAATTTAGGATGATTCAGTCCTTGGAAAATCTTAATAGCAGTCAATGAAATCAATCATTCCTGGCTCCATAAACACTCAAAAATTGCTGTTATTGTTAACCAAGTTTTTGCTTTTTTGATGGTTATTGCTTTAGTTGACAATATCTATATTCAAGAAAAAGAATTTCTTCCACTAAGCCTTATGTTAAATATTACAAAATGTATACAGAAGATAGACTCACAGAGGCCATAAAGCTAGTATCTTAAGTAATTCACCCATGAAATGGGTGCAGGGTTTTTAGAGGTTATCCAACAGTCTTTTTGCTCTAAAAATAAGCCCCTACTTTTTCAGAATGTTCCCATTCTTCAATAGGAGACTTGAGCAGCTTAACTATTTTGCTATAAAAAACAAACCACTCTTCATAGCAAACCAAAAACATAAAAGGAAACGATAAAGGACATACTTTTCACAGTTAACAATAAATAAAAGTGCAATAAGTATTCAAGTAGGGCATGTAGTTTAAAAACTACATGTGAGTATTTGGCATCGGTCATCTTTTAAAGGCTCTCCGAGGGTCCCTGCCATTACTTATTGTGGTCATGACTGTTTGATTATTAGCTGTTCCTGGTAACTGTGGATTTATAGGTCCCCGGCCATTGCTTCTACCAGCATATGAAAATTGGTATCCCCTTGATTCAGGACCGATTTGAATATCATTTCCTAAAAAAAGAACACAAACATTCATCACTAATTTCAGAAGGGGTCTATTATGATCTATAGACTATATCTATTTAAAGCTCCAACACATGCTTACAAATGTATGATTACTGCAAATAAATTAACTTGACACTTATTAATAGAAAAAAGTCATGGTGGTACCCGTAGCTCAGGGGTAGGGTGCCAGATACTGGGGCTAGTGGGTTCAAACCCAACCCAGGCCTGCTAAACAACAATGACAACTGCAACAACAACAACAAAAAGAATAGAAAAGTCAACTTGGGCAACAAAATTAGAAAGAGTAGAAATAAAACAAGTATGTAAGCCAGGTGCGATGGTCATACCTGTAATCCTAGCACTCTGGAAGGGCTAAGCGGTGGATTGCCCTGAGCTCACAGATTCAAAACTAGCCTGAGCAACAGTGAGACTCCCCATCTCTAAAAATAGCCAGGCATTGCTGTGGGTGCCAGTAGTCCCAGCTACTGAAGAGGCAGCTGCAAGAGAACTGCTTGAGCCAAGAGTTGGAGGTTGCTGTGAGTTATAACGCCACAGCACTCTACCGAGGATGACAAAGTGAAACTATCTCGAAAAAAACCACAGGTGTATACTACCTTCATTGTAAGAATATAAAAGAAAAAAAAAATAGCATGAGTATTGACATTTGGCTCAAATATGACTGTTTCAAAACAATGTAATTCTAATTTTTTAAGATAAAAACAGCCAAGTTCCCAGGGATATGATCATCAGTTATAACAAAACCTGTAGCCATCAGGTCAAATAAAATACCCTACTGAGCTCCAACCATGAAACACTTTTCCTCAATTACTTTAAAAAAAAAAAAAATTCAAAAGACCTTCAACAAGGGCTGCAAGAACCATTAACAAAACATGGAAGAATCACAGTTATCCTTTAAAGGCTCATCTTTTAAAGAGGCAGCACCAGTATATGAAAAATTAAGTTGAGCAATCTAAAGATAAAATTACTGATTACCAAAATAATCAGTAATTCTGCATCTATTTTAAGTTAATCATTAGATTACAAAAATTTTATAAAAATCAGAGGAAAAAATATGAGACTTCTTCACAGACATTACCAAAACTTAGAATTCTTATCATTGAGTAAATGTTTACCACTGTATTTCCAGTTACTGGCCCAAATGTTTAAATATATAATATGCTCAATAAGTTACCTTAAGAGTCTGTTTTCTAGAAAATCAGTTCTTTTGAAATTCCCTATTAACTGGTAGTTCACCTTTAATACTAGTTTATGCCTAAAGACAATTCTTTTCTTCTAAATCTTTCATAATGCTCTTAATTCTTATACTTGATCACAAATACACACACAAAAAAATCTTACCCATTGATCCAAATGTACCTGTACCCATATTACCATTCATGGAATTACTCCTCTGTTCACTCTGTAACCAAAAAAGTTTTTAACTTAACAAAATGAAAACAAAATAACATAACATTACCATACTTTTTTTTTCAATTTACGTTTCTGTTTTTAAATTTTTAACAAAATTTTCGGAGACTTGTCCAAGTCCACTCAAGGTTGAAATATTCATAAATATTTCCCAAGCCTTTCAAACTTGTTATACATCTTATTATCTTTCTTGTTAATACTCTCCACTCCGCAAAATAGCACATACACATGAATGTGTAATATATGGTGCGACAGCCTCATGTACAGGCTCACATAATATATGTAATAAAAATCACCATAAAGATTCCTTTAAAATTCTCATTACATTCTAACTATCAAAATAAGCCTAATCATAAAAACGTGCTATACATTTTAATTAATTACCCCTTTGTTCTGCTGTCCTTGATAATCTGGGTTGGGTTCACTGAAATTTGGCACTTCTGAATAAACCATACAAAATCTGAAAGAAAATAAAGAAGTTAAATGACTTCTACAATAAAATAATCAATCTTCCTTTATACAATATCCCCAACTTACAGGAGTGAAAAATTCAGATGCCAAATTAACAGCAATATATTAATTCATTTATAACAATAACTTTCTAAATGATTATGTCTCATAAAAACATTAAATATCTGACTGTCTACAAGACATAAAACATTCTATTTTACATTTAAATTCTTTTTTGTGTACTGCAAAAAATAAATCATGTCAAAGATCAAGGACAGAAACACATCATTGCCCCGCTTTTCCACACAGGCTGAAGCTAGTGTATGATTAGGGTTCCAGAGTGGTTTCTCCAGCAGTGGTGATGGATTTGCATGATCCATTCACACACTCTCATCCAGTCCCTCTTTGGACCAATCACTGTGTATCTGCAAAGACAATCATTCAAGGTTAAGAGCGGATTCCAGGTGATAAAGGAAACTGGCTATTAAGCCACCAGTTTACCCAGGTGTTGCTTGTAAGGAGACTCTATGGTGTGAAGTAACATTACACACAGCATTTTCTTAGCTCCTTACCCCACAAGAAAGAAATGAGAAGCAGTTTTGGTAAATCCTAGACTAACCCTGACAAAGAGCAGTTATTAAGAATTGAGCGACCTCCAGGGGTTCTTCACAGTGACCTCCATTATTATAAACACCTCTAAGACCTTTCATAACATGTAATTCTAATAGTACTACTCTAATTTTCCTACTGGCAAGACATAGTGTTAAACCAGTTACTGATCTTTACAAACTTCTGTAATTGCTTTTTATCCCTTTCATTAAAAATAGATCTTCCAAACAAAATATCTCATCCCCTTAGTGTGGAAAAGCTTTCCTTTTTTTTTTTTAATTAAGTAGATGTCTAAGCAATTAACTAGGTAGAATGGATTCATGATTTAGCTCATTGCCTTTACCATACTTTATGAATACAACCCAAATGTCTAGGCTAGCATGGAGGCTGAATTACCTTTACACCCTTAGAGAGGATGGTTCCTCCAGGTCAGGGTGGAGATCATTACCAGGGTGGTAGTGTACGGAAGCTCGCAGTGCGGCTGCCTGCACCGTACCTAGACTGTGGATAAATAGAGGACTTCAGTTTTCATTGCTGCAAGTCCTTTTAATGTGAGTATATTCACCCATAACCAGAGAAAAAGAAAATTTTAACTTATGACCTGAAACTTGTACCTAGAGACTCTACTTTCAAATGGCACTCTTGACATCTGAAAGACGTGAATGTCTAAAGCCTACAAAAATGGTCCCACCTGGGTTGGTCTCCATTGCAGTACTTACTGCTCTTTGCCAGGAAAAACTGACATTTGCCACCATAAGAAACAGTACTGATAGATGTTAGCTAGTACATGCAAAGTTATTTCTTCAGTTAAGCTGCCAAAGACATTTAGTTTACTAATCAAAAAAAGGAGCCAAGTATAAGATCTGTAGTTTAAACCTACCAATGTAGACAGTATTTGTAATTTATTCAATTATATAAAATGCATTTTAATACTTACTCTCCAATTTTTTGAAGTTCACCACCCCTTCCAGTATAAAGTGTCAGGCATCCTTTCCACATGGATGCATATCTAAAGGGAAAAAAAAATTGTTACTTCTTTGGAAATATGTGTTTTCTTCTATTTAAATCAAGTAAAACTTCATATTGTATATTTTTTACTGGGGTAGAAATGAGGATCAAGCCTATTCCCTACCACAGTAAATCAAATACAATATGTCTAATTTGATTAACTTGCCACTTACAAAGGAATAATAAAAAAATTCTGCCAAACCCTGACACAATTATTGCAACTATGACAAACCCTAAAATAAAAGGCTTTTTGCAAAGCAAGATTATACTGTAGATGATCGCATCTTTAGTCAATTAACAAAGGAAGAGTTTTCATCATTTTTTTTCCAAGCCAGAGTCTCACTATGTCACCCTTTGTAGAGTGCTGTACCATCACAGCTCATAGCAACCTCAAACTCTTGGGCTCTGACTACAGGTGCTGCCACCACCACACCCGGCTATTTTGTTGGGGGGGGGGGTAGTTGTCCTTTATTTGGCAGGCCCAGATTGCATTTGAAACGACCAGTCTCTGTGTATGTGGCTGGTGCCCTAACCACTGAACTACAGGCACTCAGCCCAAAGAGCTTTTAATTGTACAAACTTTTAAGTTGAAATTATTTTTCAGCCATATAATATATAAAATCAACACCCTAGTGTTTACTTCTATGCTCCTTTACACAGTCTAGTCAAATATTGATATAACACCTTTCTCTCTGCTTCCATTAAAAAATGCAGGGCTCTCGGCTCAGTGGCCAGGGAGCCAGCCACATACACAGGAGCTGGTGGCCCGGGCCAGCCAAACAACGACAACTACAACTAAAAAACAGCTGGAGGGTGGCATCTGTGGCTCAAAGGAGTAGGGCGCTGGTCCCAGATGCTGGAGGTGGTGGGTTCAAACCCAGCCCGAGCCAAAAA